AAGAGTCAAGACTATTGATGACCCTAATCATTTTCTATTCTTGTCCACAAATGGTTTAAGTTACATTCAGGGTTCATACACAGTTAAACTTAAATCTGATCTATTACTTATGCCAATATTTTGAATATCAGCCATGATCACAAAGAAAAATAATAGTGAACAATCTAGAGTAGCTACAAATGTACTAACAGATCATTACACATAGCAGAAAAAAAAAACAGGATTTAGAAGGTTTAAGTGAAAGAAATAAATTCTATGAGAAAGAATAAATGACTATGGAAGAAACAGTAGTGGGATCACTAAAATTGCAAGACCTTAGAGAAAAGTTTTTTTTCCTAGCCCACTTTAACCAGCTCAGCATTTTCCATACATTTTTAATTTATTGATTCAGCAAAATCCATCTCAATACTATGACTGCAACTTATTTACAGTCACTGAAGTGCATATGCCCCCTTGTGGTGGAACATATATTAACACCCTGAGCTCTTGATAAAAATTTGAGAAAAGCTAGGAGGGGCCCTATATTCCCTTAGTCAGAACATCTTATGTAGAAAACTGATTTTTCACTTCAACTCACTTCTATTTTGTATTATTGGTTGCATTTGTAATTCTTTTACAGTCCTGAAGTCAGATTAAGAGGAGCCTGCACTTGTGGCCAATTATCATTAATCACAGCTCATTCTCCCATCCACTTTATACAGGACACCTTCAGAAGAACACTTCCTCTAACTCTGATGAACAGGGTGGGCCCCCCTGGAAGTTTCCAAATAGGAGCCTGAAGAAATGGGAAGGCTGTGGCCTGAGCCCTGGTATTCCTCTGGTCTTAGACAGTTTTATCTATTCATCTTCAGAATCTAAACAAGGCCATATTCCAAACTAAGGAAATAAATTGTGTAATATAATATCTTCTGCTGTGTTAGGACTCCTTTTTATATTTTTTTAAATTACTACATCATAAAATTACTCAGGTCAAATTAAACAAAGGTAGTTGGCCATAATATATACATCCCTCCCTTATGCCCAGTTCATACTATACTAAATTTACACAAGCACATGAATACATGTGTACGTAGCTTCAAAATAAGCTTATGTCCCATTTCCAACTAAAGGAAATTGACAGCATCAAAGTCATGAAACCACTCAGCTTTTCTTCTTAACAGCTTCTTTGCATTTTTTTAAAGTCACCCACCCACTATGTCTCAATCTGCAAATATAGTGACGTGTCATTACTTTCCATAGAATCTGTAAAGTTAATCAATTTCAACTTCCCATGTTGAGGACTCTTGGTGATTTTTGCATTGAAAGATCTGATTGCCCAAGGTCTGAAAAATAACTCTGATTTTATAATTAATTTCCCTTCATTAACAGGAGATAAATCTACATAAAAAATAGCTTTCAGAAGTAAACAGAATATCCACCCCTGTGGTCCTAGGAGAATAAGAATACTGACACCTACCTGGAGCCTTCTTCTACTCAGTTTCACTGGTTTTCCTTCTTCAACTACAAGGGTGTTTCTGTGCAGGACCTGGGTGTGAGGCTGCTGACCTTCTGAGCACACCTGGACACAGACACCCACTTCTAAGTGTGTATCTTTCACTTTCACTGTCAGGTTGAACACGTCAAAGTTGCCACTGCCATGATGCCTGTAAACCACTTGTCCTTGCTTCAGGTCTTGCTGGGAAAACGAGTAGGACACAGAATTGTTGACCAGGACTCTGCCATGTTTTGGGGGCCGCACAATATGGAATTCAACCTCGAGATCTGTTCTGACATCTTGGTTTGTGGTGACACTCAGGTTGGCTGTGGTGAGGCTGTTTTCCTTTCCTCTCTGTACAAGCAGCCCTGTGTTGTTGGCTATCTGGACATAGGGGTCTGACACACTCACCTCAAGAAGGGACGACGTGTAATGGACACCATCAGTTACAAACAGCACGAAGCGGGCAGAGTCCGCTCCCCTGTGCCTGAAGAGCACATGTCCTTCCCGCAGGTCTTCCTGCCTGAACTGGTAGAGTTTCTGAGTGGGGTCCTTGGTTCGTACCAAATCCCCATTTGGGATGCCCCGCCGGGTGTAGAGCAACTGCCCATCATCAAAATCTAAGTCAGGGTCATGGTAACAGAGATCTTCCAAGGTCAACAAGCGCTGGCCATTCCGCACGACATGGAAGACCTTATCTACCATGCGCACTGGCCTCTCATCATTCTTTAACTCCACTGAAACAGTGACTTTGATTTCTGTAGACATTTGCTCTGAGTCAAGATCCCTGGCTACTCCCTCTTGGCCTGAACCTTTGGCAGAGGCCACAAGAAAGAATTCATCATACTGGGTCTCAGAGTCATCATGAATATACATCAGCCGTTCACCCACTATGTCTTGATCAGTGAATGTAGTGATACTGTCATTACTTTCCAGAGAATCTGGAAAGCTAATCAATTTCAGCTTTCCATGTTGAGGACCCTTGGTAACTTTGTATTGGAAGATCTGATTGTCCAAGGTTCGAACAAATAATTCAGATTTCGTGATTAACTTGCCTTCTCCTTCTTTTACAAGCAATCCCTTGTTTGTTAAAATAATGTGTGTCCTATCTGTTTTAAAGTTTATTCTGAAAGTATAGTCATTTGATTCTATGTGTTTTGCAATAATCAAAAACCTAAAAGTATCCTGGGAGTCTTCCCTTGGCCTCTCCTGAGGTTCATAACTTATCTTGGAGTCAGTAATATCTTTTTGGCTAAAGGTTGAGTTTGTTTTGAGAACTTTATCGCCATGTAGCAATTTTCCTTTCTTAGGTGGGGTCAGTAACTTAAAAAGTAGCTCCCTCTTGGCTACTTCCACACCCCGTGCTGCAGCCTGCAAATGATCAGAATTCAATATTTGCTGGTTTATGTTACTGACCTCTAGGGGAACATTTTTCAAAAGTACAATTTTCAGCCACTGTATGGTCACAGGAAATATGAGCTCTTTGCTGACTTTTCCTTCTATGCTAACTTTAAATTTAAAGTGATCGGTAATATTTTCTTGCTGCAGTTCTTGGAATGTACTATGGTACCGGACCCTACCCCGATCTATGGAACGCTGAGAAAAGGTCCTAACTTGTTTCCATTCTCCACTCAACCCTCTACGCTGAATCTGGCCAAACTGAGGTGGGTGAGTGATGTCATAGCGAGCCTCCATCTCATGTCGTTCACCATTAACTTCCACTGACAAGTTACTCCCTGTGATCAGAACGGAGCCCCCTTGTGATACAATCACACCAGTCCTATTGGCCACTTCAAAGTCCCAAGGAACAGCCATGACCCGTAACACAGCTGTATTGCTAACCAGCTCACCGTCACTTGCTCTCAGAACAATCCGCGAGTTGCGGTGACCCCTGTGCACATAGAAAATGTTGCCATCTCTTAAATCCTCATATGTAAAGCTATTAATGGGTCTCCCAGGATCATTGGCATTTTCTAAAAATCCAGCATCTGAATTGAAGCTGCCAAGAACTGAAAAACTAAGACTTGAAGACACTGTGTCAGGGTCTGACACCTGTATTACATTTGGGGTCAGTTGTTTCTTCGAGTTCTCAAACAGGACCAGCAGATTTCCTTCCTGGAGCTTCAGGTATGGGGGATCATTCACTGGAATGACAATAATGTTAAACACACGTGGAACATGGTTCTGCAGGTATGACGGAATTTCCTTCTTGCTATGGAAAGAGATGGAAAATGTGAAATGATCCGTAGGTTGCTCTGAACCATCATGCACATACCACACTTTTTCTTGCCACAAATCTAACAGAGTAAAAGTCTTCTCCATTTCTGGTTCAGGGGAAACATCTAATTGAATGAATCCATGAACAGGCATTTCTTCTATTTTAAATAGTAATTGAGAATAATTGATGTCCAAATCCTTCAATTCTTCATTTACGTCTACATGCCATGGTTCCAAAAGGGCTCGTCCACCTTCTTGGACCTCCAAGTTATTCACAACCAAAAAATGGCTACTTTCATCTTGGAAGTTAGTCCCAGGCACTGCAGTAGAATGGGAAACTTCTGACTGAAGCAGGGTTTCCATCACTGTTGTAGAAGGATCAGCATTATCAATACTCTTGATTTTGCACCCAGCAGAAATATCTTTGGAAATAAGGGCGTCCCTTAATGCTCTCTTTTCTGAGTTGGTTTTCAAGTCTCTTATGCACCCTTTCAAAGAGATTCCTCGAGCAGATTTTGTAGGCACAGAGGCCAGTTCTAACCTCTTCACTTTTTCCCACATTCGAGTATCAAGACCCCCCACCAAGAGGGGGCCTTTGGACACAAATGGTTTGCTTTGAAAAGGCAGCAAAGTCCTCACCCTTTGTGCATCTACCACTAAGTCCATATACCTTTCCCTGAGTTTGAGTTGAATAACATGCCACTTGTTGTCACTAACTAAGTTAAAAGAAGAAAGCTGAATTTTGCTTTCATTTCTTCCTCCATACGCCTTCAGTAGACCCTCGTGTATTTCCAAGGCGACAAAATCCCCTTCTCTACCTGGCTGAAATAAAAGCAAGGCTTGTTGGGTTCCAGTTTGCAAAGCAAATTCCAATAGCCCTTCCCCTTGAACCTTCCATTCTGGAAAGGTGACATAGGATCTAGAGCTAAAGAAATTGATGGCTTCATCCTCTCCTGCAAAAAACTCATCATTGCATCCTAGTGAGACCTCATAAACCTTCTTAAAACCAGGATAAGATCTAAGGGACATAAGGATCTCCCGCTGGTTAAATATGACATCCTCCATACATCCGCGGAAGTTAGGAAGATTTCCATCTAGGTAAGGCACATTGAGTCCCCCGTGGCCTCCTATGTAGATTCCATGGTGAAAATTCAAATTATGCACCCCACCAGACATTTGGCTAGTTGTCTCATAATGTTTGTCAATAACCAAGAAAACATTATCCTTAACATAGTACAGTTCCACCAAATGCCAAACCAAGTTGTCCATATGAACTCTTTGCTCGGAAAGGAGCACTTGTTCACCTGCACCCAAATGCATTCTCACCTGAAAGAGAAAGAATCATGATTAATAAATCTCATCTCATTTCTCCAAAGTATTTTATTATGAAAATGGGACTGGCACCCTAAACTTCTGGGAGTAGTCATTTGTGTGGCTGGGGGCAGTTGGCTTTGTGGTTGCTGGTGTGATTTGGCCCCTTGTGGGGAAAACTAAGAGGGTTTGAGGATGGCAGAAGGGGACACCTTGGTATCAGTGGATTACAAAATTTTGAGGAAGGTGCAAGGGGTGGTTTTCCACAAGTACACTCAGGCTGAGGGTAAAAAGCTAGGATTGGCAGGCTGGGTCCAGAAGACTGACCGGAGCACGGTGCAAGGACAATTGCAAGGTCCTATCTTTAAGGTGCATCACATGCAGGAATGGCTTGAGACAACAGGAAGTCCCAAATCGCACATTGACAAAGCAAATTTCAACCATGAGAAAAATCATCTTGAAATTTGATTACTCTGATTTTGAAATTGTGAAATGATGGCCTGAATTTAAAATTTCCAATAAAAACTGAGTTTTGGTTTTTTATTATTAATAGAAATAGAACTATTCTGTGTTCAATATTAGAATTAGTTATTTTTGTATCAGATATTTGTTACTGTGTGTTCCATGGGTGATGGAACACAACTTCACACAATTCTAATAAATAAAAACACATTAAAACAAAAGAAAAAAAAAAAGAAAAGAGAATGGAACTGGGCTATGGTTTGAATATGGTTTGTCTCTACCAAAACTCATGGAGTTTAAGTCCCCAATGCAGCAGTAGAGAAAGTTGTTGGGGACTTTAAGAAGTGATTAAGTCATGAAGAGGGATTAATGCTTTTCTCAAGGGAATGAGTCCTCACTCTTATGGAACTGGATTAGGTATTGTAAGAACAGATTGTTAGAACAAGTTGCAAATTGGGGGTGGGGGGCGGTTGTTAAAAAGCAAGCTCAACTCCTCAGCTGGATCTCTTGCTTTCCCTCTCACCATGTATCCCTTTCACCATGAGGCCCTCACCAGAAGCAGAGCAGATGCCAGAACCCCATCCTTGCACCTCTAGAACCATGAGCCAAAAGTGCAGGGATTTTGATATAGCAACAGGAAATGAACTAAGGGTCTTCACACCAAGAGAAAGAGAGAGACAGAGAGAGAGAGAGAGAGAAGGAGAGAGAGATTTGAAAACTCTTTCTACACTTGTAGATTTCATATTGAAGTTTGAAAATTTTAGAATCAGAATATTTAGGACATACTGGCAACACTGAAGAAGATTTCCCTCTATACAAATATCTCACTTTGTTCCAGTGAGTTTACAGCAATTAATCGACAAATATAGATAGATTCTTCTCCTTCTCTTTCACTTTTCTCTCTCTCCAGTAATTTATATTTTAAGGATATATTTTTTTAAACCATACCCGTAAGGTTCCTGCTAGAAGTTCTATTACACAATAGTCATTTTTTCCAGCTGCAAGAAAAAGTAACCCCTGTGGCTTGCTGGTTTGAAATTTTAATTCAAGAGATAGCTCAGAGGAAACTTCTAGGATGTTGAGCTCCACATAGCTTTCACCATAAAAAGATGCTATGGGGGAAAAAAGCATAAGTTAGTAAATTTATTACACAGTGACTATTTTACAGTATGCAATCATCCCTAAAAAAAGCTGCCTTGCCCAAGGCCACCAGGGTTTTCTGGGGTGGCCCACAGACCCAACATGGGTGTATAAAGTGTTCATTACTTATTATTCTCTCACCCTAACTCAGGACAGTGTCAAAGGTCATTTCCTCTTCAGAACTCTCAAGAGGAGCAGCCAAAGCTTCCACTGCGAATAAACTGTAATTCAGCTTTTCCCTCTATCCAAGAAGCTTCCCCTCCACGAAGATTGATTCTAAGAGCTCTGGCTAATAAACTTCCCACATACTAAGTTCCATCTCAGATTCTTCTTCTCCAGGAACCTGACTTGTGACCATTGGGATTGGAAGTAGCCAGAGAAAGCAGATGCTGGAATGGGATTTGGAGCTGTAGCACCCACACCCAAATGGTGATTAGGACTCTATCACCAGGAACAGGTGAATCACAGAGAGCCCTGGCAATGATATAATTTCACTGGTGGCAATTATACTGGTATGGTGTAAGAGTGTAAGGGAACACATTAGCCCAGCTATAAAATGTCAAGCTATGAAAAATACAGAGCAAATAATAACTATGAGGACAATGGAAGTGGTTGCTTCCCAACAAATTTGAATAAAACTTTGGGGAAAGATAAGGAAAAGCTAAAACAGATTAGTTACAATTACTAGTTAAGTGTGAAATCCAGAAGGTGTCGATGGGAAAATGCAATGTCCTTCTCATCTACAGCAGGAGGGCAGAGAAAGGGGAAACTCAGACCCAGGAATTGACACCAGATACAGTTAAAGTCCCAAATGGGACAGGCTTGTTCTGACAAGGCAAGTCACTAGTTAGGAAGAAATGGAACCCTGACACAAGGAATGGGAACATATGGGTTGCTGCATTCAATCATTTTGAGTCCCTAGGCCCTCTTGTACCCTTTGAGTCTGAAGAAGTGGCCCATTTCCCTATTGGGGCCAGTACTCCCCACTTAAAGAGGATGCAGAAGACTCTCTTCACAAAACAACATGTGACTTGCAAAGATAATAACCCGTTTCTCTCCTCCTGGCCACTAGACCAAACACCAGGGATAGGTGAATTTGCAATGCAACCTGGGTGGAGACATGTTAGACTTGACGCACAATAGGTGAGCTCCTAAAGGAGATGCAAGACCTACTCAAAATGAACTTCTAGTATGGGGGTAGGAGTAGAGGAGGGTGGAATACACATGGGGCTAAATGTATCTGACAAGGAACAGGAGTATAAGGTTGATAAAGGAAAGTTTTTAGATTTTGAAGCACTCTTGACAGACATGAGGTACAACATATAACACCCTGGCAAAGTCTCCTTGAAATGATGTGAACTCATGCTAAGATGGCTCCTAGAAGCATGAAAAATGCAGTGGACCATTATAAATGAGACAGACATAGCATTGTCAGGGCATATGGTGGGAGAAGAGATTATAGGGATGAAAGTGGTGCATCCTAGATCAAGCATGTAGAGGACCAGAAGTCATAAGCAAATCACACCAGATGGTTCCCCAGATCTTATGTCATCCACCAGTTTTGTGCCTGTACCCTTCTCTCCGCTCACATAGCTGCATAGAAAGATTCCTCACTACCAGCTAACAAAGGAGCAAAACACTTGGCTTTAAATGAGTCAGCTTCATCTTACAGACAAAAGCAAAAAATGGGCTCTAGCTGCACTACAGCTCCTTTCAGAGCAGCCACGAAAAATTCTAGTAGGAAAATTCCTCCAAATAAATAGAAGTGAATGGTACACCTAAGTGTCCATTTACTATGGAACAAGAAATGTTCAGAAGTTAGAATATACAGACTCATCAATAGTGGCAACTGAACCAGCCACGTGGTCAGGAGCCTAAAATGAGAAAGAGTGAAAGATCAGGAACAAGAAGGGCTGAAATAGATATGAGCATGATGCAGGAAGAGTTTTATATTGCATGGTAATGCCCACCAGAAAATGCCTACTACACAATTTGTATTGAACAACGAGGCAGAAAAAGTGACCTGGCCTGTGGACATCACCCAGCCATTATGCCACCCCAAAGTAGGTGCAATGGATGTATAATGAAGTAGCCATAGTGGAGGCAAGAGTGGGGTCTATAGATGCACCCTGCTTTATGGGCTCCCTCTTGTCAAAGCTTTCCTACCTACTGCTACTGCTGAATATCCAATGTACCTCCACAAAGACTAACACTGAGTTCCTAAGATGTCTCCAGTTCTTGAGGAGATCAATTGTTCACTGGGTGGCAAGTTCACTGCAATCAAACCTTTCTCCTTGGCATGGCCAGTGGTTCATTTTGACAAAAACAGACACATATCCTAGGTATATGTTTGCCTTTCTATTCAAAGCATTGAAAGGAGGGGAGCCTTCCACACTTATTCTATAAGGCAAGCATTACCCTGATATCACACCAGGTAAGGATATAACAACAGCAGCAAAAGAAAACTATAAACCAATATCCCAAGAACAATAATGCAAAAAAATCTCAACAAAGTACTAGCAAGCCAGATCCAGTAACACATCAAAATGATCATTCACCATGACCCAGCTGTTTATCCCAGGCTGCAAGGATTATTCAACATATTCAAACCAACAAATGTAATACATCATATCACAAAATAAAAGATGAGAATCATCAATCACCATCTTTAGATGCAGTAAAAGCATTTGATAAGGTTCACATTCCTTCATTTTAAAAATCCTGAACAGATTAGGTATAGAGGACCACACCCCATATAATAAATGCTACATATAACAAATCCACAGTCAACATCATACAGAATGGGGAAAACTGGATGTGTTTTCTCTAAGATCTAGAATAAGCTAAGGGCATGCACTCTCACTGCTCTTATTCAATATAGTGATGGAAGTTTTAACCAGAGCAATTAGATAAGAGAGAGAATTAAAGGGCATATGATTGGGAAAAGAGGAATTCAAACAATCTTGTTTGCAAATGATATGATATTATATATTTAAAAATCTACAAAATTTCACCAAAAGAGTATTAGAATTGACAAATGAACTCAGTAATGTTGCAGGATACAAAATCAACATACAAAGAAATTCAGTAGCATTTTTGTAAAACAACAACAAATTTTCTAAGAAAGAAATCATGAAAGCCATCCCACTCAAAATAGCTACACACACACACATACACACACACTATGAATGACTTTAACTAAGGGAAAGGAATCATCTCCCATGTTCATGGATTGGAATAAACCATATTGTTAAAATGTCCATACTATCCAAAGCTATTTACCAATTCAATACAATCTCCTTCAAAATACCAATGATATTCTTCACAGAACTAAAAAAAGAAGAAGTCTTGAAATTCATAAGGGAACAAAAAAGATCCCAAATAGCCAAAGCAATCTTGAACAAAAAGAAAAAAGCTAGAAGTGCTACCATACCTGATTTCAAAACATACTATGGTCTATAGTATTCACATAAATACCATGACACAGACTCAGTGGAACAGAAAGGAGAACCCAGGACTAAACGTAGGCATCTACAACCAACTGATTTTTTTTAAAAATCACCAAAATCATACGTTGGACAAAGGACAGTCTCTGAGGAAAGGTGCTGGAGAAACTGGATGCCCATACACAGAAGATTGAGATTTGACCCCCTATCTCTCACCCTGTAGAAAAATAAGCTTATATGGATAAAAGACCTAAATGTAAGTCTGAAAGTACTAGAAGAAAACATTGGGGAAACACTTCTTCAAGACATTGATATAGGCAATAAAATTTGACCCCCAAATCATAGGAAACCAAAACAAAAATAGACTAGTAGGATTATACCAAACTAAAAAGCTTCTGTACAAAGGAAACAATTAACAGAGGGAAGAGACAATCCACAGAT